AGCGGTCTCGTGTGGACAGAAACTATCCGGATAACTATTGCGTATGGACGGAAGCTTGTTTGCGATTGCGTTTGCGTTAATCCTATGCGTTTAGCCGTTTTCGTCCTCGTGTGGCCGGGGTATTAGAGCCTGCTAGAGAGGTGGTACTATCCTGGGGAGAAAAAAGTTCCAATTTCTGATTGGCTGGGCGAATTGCAAACCACGCGCCAAAATACTCGGAAAAGTTTTTTGAAGCCGCCATTGTATTTGCTGGCATTAGCATTATTAGCATTAGCCCCGTGCATCAACGGAGAGAGAATAACTTATGGCAACAGAAAAAAAAACATGGGAGCGGTGGAGTGATGAGGAGGTGTCGGCGTTCTGGCGATTTACTCGGAAGGCTTCAGTAGAATCTGCTGGGAGTCCCAGCAGCTGCTACTGAAGCCTGTCCCCAACTCCGGGGACTTCCGGCCGGGGACTTTGGGCGGCAGTATACGCCATGAAGTTGTTTGCGGCCTGCCAGTAAACCCAAAGAAGAAGAAGAAGTGACGTCAGCGGCTGCATTTGCGTAATCTTCCCTCAGGGAACCTTTTCCGGTGTGAACGTGATCTGCTCTTAGTTCCATGGGGGTACTAAGTGCTAGGAACTAAGTACGGCAAAGTACTTGGTGTGAAAGCGGCTATTGGCACTGCCCATTTTACATTTTAAAGAGGCCCTATTATGCGTTTCCCTTTCCTGTAGTGTGTTCATTCGTTTATTGTGCATGTAAATTGTCTGCAAAGGCTAACATCTCTGGTCTTTTCTACCTGGATATGTGCTTATTTGATTTTGATTTTATTAAAGGAATGGTATGCTCATGACACTCATTTTTAAATAATTATCATCCGATAAAACAGACCAGTCTCTGCCAGTCTCTCTTTTTTTTTTTTTAATCCGATGACATTATCAGTGATTTTAAACTGATTAATTACCGAAATAACATCAACACTGTGGGCGGCGCCATTTTACCGGACGTGACGTAAACCATGCGTTTGGTTTCGAGGACACGTTGATGTTCATGTTATTTACTGTAGTTACTCTCTTCAAATATGCCTCATTGTATCGCGAAACATTGCCACAATTCTGATAGGAACAATCCACGGAATGCTCGGTTCTATCTGTTGCCAAAAGGTAAGCGTAGGAAGTACGTTCGGAGGCAGTGGCTAGCGAAATGTGGCCGGCCCGAACCGAAAGATCCACAGGCGCATGTATGCAGCGAACATTTCAAGTTTCCGGACGACTACTATGAGTATGATAAAACATAACATGGGATTTATTGAACAACCATTACTTAATGGAGATGCAGTACCATCGGTCTTTCTGGTGTCATCACCGACCAGGACACCAGTTCGGCCAGTTGAGAAATCGCCCTCTGCAAGTGTGAAGCGACGGAGGACCAGAAGTAGTGCTCGGAGTAAGAATAAGGTATGTTATGGCGCATTTCCATTGCAGCGGGTAGCCCCGTTTAAACGTCCTTTATCGTCCAGGCCAGGCCAGTTTTTGGTGGCCTTTCCATATAGCGTAGTACCGGCTAGTGGGTATTTCCCCCCAGTTTTTCCGGCCCCATAAAATCGTGGTTCTAGGGCCAGGGACAACGAGGCTGAGTATGCTAAACTAGAGAGGGAATCGCTAGCAAGGGTGGTACTACATGCATACATATCTAGTAATCAAAATCATTGTATCTACTAAGTAGTACTAAGTAGGCTCGAACCTGTATGGCTGAATTCCCCCATCCAATCTCTTCATATTGCTCAAAACTTCGCCATGTTTTCGTGTGTTTACAAAGTGAACGCATGGATGACGTCACGACCATCACGTCACTACTTAAAATGGGCAAAATGGCAGCGGCCTGACGGAATATACAGGTTTTGATAAAAAAGAGCTATAAAATCATTATTTACCGGGGAATATCGCTGATTTCTTCAGGGTATGGTTTAAACATAATGTTTCACTAAATACTGAAGTTTTGATTAATTATCTAATGAGTGGAGCATTCCTTTAACATGTGCTTGCCCCTTTTTTATATATGTTAGGCCACTCTTTATTTTACCCTCGACCTGCACTGTACCCTTAGCTGGCATGAAAGTGTCCCTGCTGTGGGACAAAGAAAGGATTTCTGAACACAGTCATTATGGTAGGGATATTAGGAAGTGACTGTCTGCCAATCTGCTAATTACACCTACTCTGTTTCCCCCTAACACCTGAATTCTCCCTGCAGATTGCATTGTGTGCTACACTAATGGATTAACAAGAAGGAACTGTGCTGATCAGCTTGGCTCTCACACACACAGCCAGCCAACGTGTGTGTGTCACGTACCAATTTTTATTATTCTGTAAAGTTGTCGAGAAAACAGCATGACTTTTGGAATGATATCAGTCACACTGTGTTCTTGTTCATGCACAACTCCTTCAATCAGCTCTATGTATCACTCGTCCAAACCACTTTTACTGTATTGACTCTCGTTAAAAAAGGCTAATTGACAGGTTCGCTGTGCAAAGGCCTTGTTATTCTTCCTGGTCGGTCAGCTGCTGTTGATTGGGGGAGGGGGGTAAGGTTTTAGGGTTGCAACCATCAGACAGAGAACGAGTGCAGATAATCCTTTAAACAGAGTCACTAGCAGCTAGCTTTGTCTAGACAAGAATTAGCTTAGGGGTTTAAATAAAATGTACTTTTGGTACGCTAAAGCTCCAAGAACACAATGGCAACTTTTAAATTTAACACACGAGGTGAGAAATCAGCCACCCACCACAAGTCGCCTATAAACCGCGGATCCGGATGCGGGGTCTACGACTGGCCGGGGAAACTTGCCACCAGAAAAATGAGAAACAGTTAAATTAAGTTTTTTGAATTTTGGAAAGTGAAGAATTAAAAAAAGTTTTGATCCAGCTTTTTTTCACAATTATTAACATTTAAATAAACTTTAGGTAACACAAGTAAAAGTACTCTTTTCACACTTTTCAGGATATTAAATATGTTATTGTTGGATTATAATTAGTGATTCATCAATGTCTTAAAACCGCCGTTGATAAAGGAGGATATTTTTTAATACAATATATTTTAACAATGGATCAATAAAGTTGATTTTAACCTACATTTCTTAATTATTGATCTACATTTCCATACAGTATTGTCAAAAACAGGCAAATAGGTTAATAAAAGTCTTATTTTTTTGTAAAGCTCTACTTCTAAAGGGTCCTTTTCCAAAATAATGTTTATCAAAAGGGGGGTTCTCGGCTACATATTTGTTTGGGTCACGCTAACCTGGAAGTTTACTTAGCCATGACCCCGAGAAGATTAATTGACAATTTGTCATTAACCTTGACCCCTTTCAACATTCTTCCAACATTATTTACATGGCATCGAGGATACACACAAGCAGACCACACACTGAGTGCCAAAGCGTGCATGACACACACAAACACACACACAATTAGAGCTGGGAATCTGGCTCTGGAGATAATACTCCATTAGTCTAGGCTGCAGAAAAGCTTGCCAGTCCTTCAAAAAGCTGCCAGAGCTGTTTTATGCCAACTCTTATTCCAAGATCGTACAAAAGAGATCGGATAAAAAAAATCTCGGTGGAACCGTTACTTGTTCCTCAACGCTTCTCCCATTTTTTAATTATCCTCATTTCTCATTTATATCCTCATAGCTTTAGAGTGTACCACGCGTACGCCAATAAATGGTGTCAGTCCTGTTAGGAACACTGGGCCAATTCAATGCAATGAATACCCCGTCACCTCTGATGATCATTGGTGCAGGGATCACTTCCCCCGAAGCCAGGAGATCACCCACAAAGCTGCTGGGCCTTGAGATCAGATACACAATTATTCTAACAGCTGTGTAGCATCATGGCTTCCTTCAGGTAAAAGCTGTTTTATCCACTGACTGATAAACAGTAAAGTGGAGGAAAAATCATAGGAACATCCAGAAATTAGTTAGCATTAATGATTTAGCACCTTCCCTTGTCTCTAAGTCAACTATTTTTTAAGTGGTTAGAAGCTGAAAATAAGGTATGTGGTTAAGACAAGCTGCAGAGATGTTTACATTTTGTTCTACATCATAAGATATGTCAGTTAATACCCCAATGTGTCATAAAAATGTCCGTTGCTAACGAGTGTCTAAACGAAATTACTAAACGTCATTACGCTGAACATTAGGCGCCTTTAGCTTAGCGGTGGTGACGTGAAGTCATGTGACCGTGCTGTAGTTCCTTTATAGCCCAACATTAGCGACCTTTAGCTTAGCGGTGGTGACGTGAAGTCATGTGACCGTGCTGTAGTTCCTTTATAACACAACATTAGCCTCCTTTAGCTTAGCGGTGGTGACGTGAAGTCATGTGACCGTGCTGTAGTTCCTTTATAGCCCAACATTAGCCTCCTTTAGCTTAGCGGTGGTGACGTGAAGTCATGTGACCGTGCTGTCGTTTCTTTATAGCCCAACATTAGCCGCCTTTAGCTTAGCGGTGGTGACGTGAAGTCATGTGACCGTGCTGTAGTTCCTTTATAACACAACATTAGCCTCCTTTAGCTTAGCGGTGGTGACGTGAAGTCATGTGACCGTGCTGTAGTTCCTTTATAGCCCAACATTAGCCACCTTTAGCTTAGCGGTGGTGACGTGAAGTCATGTGACCGTGCTGTAGTTCCTTTATAGCCCAACATTAGCCACCTTTAGCTTAGCGGTGTTGACGTGAAGTCATGTGACCGTGCTGTAGTTCCTTTATAGCCTAACGTTAGCGTTGTACTTCTGGAGATTGCATTTACTTTTCAAAAATCATAAAGTGGTGTTAACATGTGGAGATTATCCTGCTGAACAAAACGTGTAAATAGCCATGTGTTAGACACAGATCTTATTTTCTGTTTCGAAATCAAATGGAAAAAAGCCCATTGCTTTCGCTTCACCAACACGTTATCAATTCATCACGCTATCTTTTCAACTTTAGGTCAGGTAGACACTGTATAGGTATTAAATGAGTCCTTACGGTGTGAGGGGAGAAGGGCAGTCTGCTTGAACTTGGAGCTGAAGACACAATAAACACTTCATCCGCACCGAGGTCCAGTTCAGTCAGACCGCTGCAGGACTGGGACATGTCCCCGCCAGCACTGACTACAAAACACAGACGAATAGGTAGACACAACATATATTTAAAAACATTCAAGACAAGGCCATTTCTATCCCCTCTAGAATATGTTATACAGATCAAAAGCTGTACATCGTGGATGTGAAGAGTGCACAGCAGATATGACAATTTAACAAAATGTCTCAACCCTCACTAGGCCCGTCTTCATGCCATACTTTCATATATTAAAAGGCTTCTTTGTCAATGGAGTAACACAGGATAGTGCTGGAAGTCGGCTTGTATATTTCTAAAAAAAATTACAAAAAAGATTGTAGATAAATAAAAGTAGGGACAATTAAAAAATGTTAAACCTATATAGATATTAATCATGACAGAAATCAGCGCTGGGGGTGTCGTGATGTGCCGGTTTAGAGGATAAGCGAAATTATAAATATATATATTGATATCATGTTAATAACAATCTCACATGAGTCGTTTATTTGCCAAAAAAGAGATGAAAAACACAATTAGTAGTGTTTCAAATTAACTTGACAGATAGAAGAATTGATTTAAATATCTGTCTTTATGAATTATTTCAGCCACAAGTGTCATGTAGTGAAAAACTGTTTTGTGACTAATCAGCGTAAATAGATGGTAATAAGTCTTTATCACGATTAAATGTTCGGAAGTAGTTCAGAAAAACATCTGTCAATCAGTAAAAAGAAATGCACGTCTGGCCAGAAGAAAGGTTGAATGATGGTGTGCGGCACATTTCTACCTAAAGTAGGTCAGAGACAATTATTAGTAGTTTAACTGAACTCTACAGAGCTGTAAATTACACTTTCCTGCTTTCCTCCTCTTTAAGTAAGGACTGTTTCCCACTCAGAGAAGCAGCAGAGCTTGTGCGGTTGTACTGCAATTTAAATACTTCAATAAAACACCATGCAGAGGAGGCTAATGTGTTTTGGTGTAAACTCCTTACACCGTGACTGCAGCTCACAGAGAGGGGGACTGTACTCCTCTGTTGTTCAAAATACTCCCAGGGTGCTTTGTGGGTTAAATGCCACAAACCCACAAATCTCTCCGCCTGGGTTCAGTCCCACGGAGAGAGAAGCCTGTGGATTGTTCCAGGATCAAGCCTGTGTGCTGCTGCTCAACTAAAGCAATGCTCCTTTCCATTGAACACTTAAGAGTCCATGGAGGGTTCAGTTGTATCTTTTAAAATATCACACAAACGTGATCTGAGACTGAGTGTTGGTACATCTTTCCGAGAAGAACTCCTGGAAGATTTCCCAAAAGAGCCATTTGTTTTTAAAGAATAGCATACGAGTCAAATAGGAGAATACAAAGACAGATGGTTATCTAGAAACTCATCACCAAGAACTCATCAGCAGAGAAAATACATCCAATAATGGACATTCCTAAACACCCAGGGACTTACATTTTTAATGACTGCTGCTCTCAAACTTTATGGGGTCATTGCTCTGCCAGGAAACTAATTCATGTGTGATTTATATTTCTAAATGTACTGTCACCTTTCCCAGAAGTCCTAACACATGTAAATCTAAATGGATTGCATCTTGAGTAATGTGCAATACATGGGCTTTGGTCCTGCTGCAATGCCCCTTTTTTCCCAACTGTATGTCTTAGCAGTATGCCAGAGAGAAATGCACCCAAAAAGGAAATCAATTAAACATTTCCAGCATGAAATCAAGACCTTTAAAAAGGTCCCCTATTATACTCTTTTTCATCAATAGGTCTCAGATATATACAGAACATGTCTCTGAAGTGTTTGGCTCCAAACACCAAACAGATCATTGCAGCATTACCCATAATCCCCTCTGTTTCAGCCCTGTTTCCAAAGTGCTGATTCTCTGTCTGTTACTTTAGATGAAAATAAGGAGCCCCTCCCCACGCCCCTCTGAGAGAGATTTGGTTAAAAAGAACTCAATGGTGCTCTAGGAGGAGATTCAGGTGATAGGGGGGGGGGGGGGTTACCTTGGTTGGGGATTGGCTAATGGTTACTCAAGACAAAACAACGTTATGACATCATAAAGTGGCCAAAATCTGATCAGCTCATTTTCAGACAGGTTTTTATAGAAATGGATCAAAAAGAGAGAGAATCTTTGTTCCTGAAACTTTCAGAATCTCGTGTTGATGTAGAAGAGACATGAACAAGTGGATTTTGCATAATAGGTGACCTTTAAGCCATCCAATTGCTTTCGTGCGTTCATGTGTGTGTGTTCCCGACCTGTGTGTGGCGGGCTGTCGTTGTTGTTGTCCTGCTCGGCGCTCACTTCCAGGTTGGTCTGGTTCTCAGCCATCAGCTGCAACTCGCTCACCTCCGCCGCCGTGTTGGGGACCCCCTCCGGCACCTGAAACACCAGCAGAGTGACGGTCTGTTTATCCACGGAGCTTTAACAGGAAACCATAGAAACATCACAGCGACACACATTCATATATGCAGAAAGAAACAGTACTAAAGTCAATCAGAATACTTTACTTATGCCAAGGGGAAATTAGGTGTTGTAGTAGAGAAGATTACCAAACATACATTAAAGTAGTTATGTCAATATAAGAAAAATGTGCAATAAGAAGATACATTTAATAAAATAGAATACAATTATTTATAGGTTTTTTGTCTTTTTACTTACAATTTATGTACAATTACTCACATGTTTCAGATGTGAATATCTCACAAACTTAGCACATTATTCAGACTGTGCATTACTTTCAATATGTTTTTTGGTGTGAGTGTAAGGCTGCCACTGAAGAGTGTTTTTGCTTAATATGTCAGAAACTAGTAAAAAAAAAAAAAAGAACCGGCTGTTGTTTCCCACGGCACAGATGTCTTGTTTTATCTGACTAACCACCAAAAAACGAAATATATTAAGTATCAAGTATGACAAGAAATCATCCTCATCAGTCTTCAAATGTTACCAAAAAACGAAATATATTAAATATCAAGTATGACAAGAAATCATCCTCATCAGTCTTCAAATGTTTGGCCTCGCAGAATGACTACAGACAGGATGACAATTTGTTCAAATTAACTATAAAGTACTGTCATGGGACATGTTCTTGCCACTCAGACACAACTCACAGAGATAATAAGAGTCTATATTAATATTGTTTTAAAACCCAGGGAGATACAGACACAACTGAACAAATGTGTATCCTCTGAGGGCATTATAGAAACGTTAAAGCAGTTTAAAACACGATCACCAAGACACATATTTGACAATCCCCCTGCTTCATCATCAGGTTTGTTTCAAAACTACATGAGCTGATCTGAGCCCGAGCTAGACAGTGAAGGGGCAAATAATATACAAAGAAACGTCCAGAGATCCCAGTTAAAGCTCCATTTACAGAGGAATGTGTGACTGACAAATAAGTCAGAAGGGAGAAGAAGAAGAGAGGACTTCTGGGAAAGAAAGAAGTAGTGTCCGTACCTCAGAGTCGCTGGATGCACAGGAGCTGGCTCTCTTCGGACACAGTTTGGGTCTGGAAAACATAAAACCACAGCAATTTAGTGAATCATTACAGTCAAATGAACGTCAATTATTTTTGGAAGAGTTTTCCCAAGAATAAAAGTCCCTCTGGTTTTCACAATTTGACCAGAAATGTAAAAATGGACACTATTTGACATCTTAGCACTCAATGTATAATAGCTCCAACATAGCTGTGGCTATTTCCCCTGAATAGATTCCCCTAGGATGATAGAGCAAGATGCAGCACAGTCTTGCATTCACACGTCAAAAATGTAGTGCTTGTTACTTGATCTGCATTGCTTTGTATTTCCTGTAGGCATGACCTTTATTAAAAACCAATACTAGTCATGTCCAGTATTTCTTCCAGAGACAAACTGGCGGCTATCATGCTTTTCTAATGTTCAAAGGCCCAAATGAACTAATGAAGCTGAAATACTTGAGCAAGACCCCTCTTAATAAAAATTACTTTTACAGTTCAACGAGTTCACTGCCAGCCGCCGGTCAAATGAGGGCAACCCCTGCTGTGACTCTCATCCACCTTCCACTGTTTTCTGACCAGAAGAGACCTTGCAAATTAATCTCACTGCAGCTTCTAACATGCAACATTTCGCCTTTATCAGCAGGCGAGTCGTTTTCCAGTAATTTCTCATTTAAATTAATAGGGAACAATTGAAGAGGAATGAGAACGAATGTCAGCTACTGAGGCTGTGCTTTGATGCTAACGCGTTTCCTGGCTTCTGGATGTTGTTGTTGCTTTTCACACTTACATTTTATTGAACACATGTTTACAATTTCCCTGTCGTTAATAGTGAGAACCTGTGGAGTTATTGTGCCTAATGGAGGCGTTGGAGACAGCTTTTGAAATGAACGGGAATCATATTAAATTAAATAAAGCTGTTTCTCACAACAAGCTAAATGCTAACACCTCAGCAGATCTTCAGGATCTTGAATATATGTTGACAAGGAGGGTTGAACAGTCGGCATGTCAGAACAGATAGTATTACACTAAACCCTCATATTGTGTTCACTCTCCCCTGGGATGAACAAGAGGGAACAGATGGTAAATTACACCTTTTGATTGTTTGACAATGCACACAACTCTCATTGAGTTTTCAATTCTCCTTGTCCCTTTTTCTCCCCCGCCCCTTCACTTTCATGCCGCCTCTGTGTTGTTTTTTTTAATTGACGCCAGGTGCTGTACCTTGAATGCCTCATAGTCTACGGTGAGAATGCTCACATCAAGGAGGCCGCACAACTGCAGCCAAAGCCACCTGAACAGAGGGGTCACCACATCAGGGCCGAGGCGTCCAGCTGAGTCAACATAACAGAGTGGTGTGTGTGTGTGTGTGTGTGTGTGTGTGTGTGTGTGTGTGTGTGTGGTGTGTGTGTGTGTGTGTGTGTGTGTGTGTGTGTGTGTGTGTGTGTGTGTGTGTGTGTGTGTGTGTGTGTGTGTGTGTGTGTGTGTGTGTGTGTGGGTTAAGTTATGACTTAATTATGGGTTTTGTCAGAAGAATTCTTACTAGGAACTCAGGACTTAAATCGTGTTTATGATACAAAAAAGCAAGAAAAACAAATTAGCATTTAAGTTTAGCCTGCTTTAGACTCTGAGGCTTTATATAATAAAAACACCAGTGCTTTGAGCTCAATTCTGACATCAGCATACCAACATGCTCACGATGACAATGCGAATGATGCCTAGCAGACCATACCATGTTCATATTGTAAGCATAGAATGCTAACATCAAGTTCAGCTGTGGCTGATTGAAATCACTTCGAATGCTACACTATGACATTTTACCATACATGTTGTATGACACTTATGACTTATTTAGGGCTTATTATGGCCTTTTCGCACAAAATTCTTTATTCTTATTATTCCCCCCTTTATTTTGGCCCTCTTCTTCTCCCACATTCCACATCGCAGAAACTCCGTTCAAACATCAAAACGTTCAGCTCGGTCGGGAATCGATTGCTATTACTTTTCTCATTCATAACTTTCATAATTCCAGAGATATATCCCATAATTCATCACATTTTTATCCATTGAAGTCAATGGAGAAAATCTTCAGACTCGAACAATCTTCATGCGACTTCAACTGCTAACTGCTCATTCATACTTTCACTCAGAAACCTCATTCCAACTTTAAAATGTTACACATCTTTCTGACATTATTCGTGTAACACAACTTTTAAATCTGATTCTTACTTTTAGAGATATTAAACATTGTTTAGACCTTGTTACAGACTAGAGGCCTTCTTCAGATTTTAACATTAACTAGAGTGCGTGATGTCACAGCTAGAGTGTAGGAAATCTTGAAATGTGCCTTCATATTTCTTTTTTAAACTGCCATAATTCCCAAACCCTACTTTCCTGAGACATCATTTATCATGACAAACGTAGGAAAACATCTCGTAGCTTGAAAAATTACAAATAATTAAGGAAAAAATAATTAAACAAAATGCCTCTTGAGGGCATGAAGTGACAAAAACTTTCAACATGTCTCCATTAAATCCCATTGTAATTTCAGGCTGATATTTCCTCCCAGCAGCAGCCGCTCACCTTTAGTTAATCTGCCAAAAGGCCACATTATTGACCCGAAAGTACACAAAAAGCACACTTCAGATACTCAACTTCCTTGAGATGCTTCACGCTTTGAAATTTCACCGATATCTGTTACGGTTCTTCAACCACACTTTCACATGTAAGAGGTTTATCTCTCATTCAGAACAATGGAAACCTGTGATCTCTGCACGCCTCGTTAACTCAAATATAAACACCTGTGTAATGGAACACGATGATGTCATAACTCCAACTGACATGCTCAGAGCAGCAGACTTCAGCTTATCATCATATGCCGTTTCCATGGCGACATCGTCTTTTATAGCGAGGGATGCGTATCCCTCGCTATAAAAGACGATGTCGCTATACATTAACTCCTATGAAAATGGAAAAAAAGTGCTCAAAATTCACATGTGTGCCAACAGTCCAGCCGTGAAGACATCTACGGGACAGTTTTGAGATTTCTTCAAATGCTGTTGCCATGGCAACACAATGCTCGCCATGAAACACGGCTTTCTCATAACTTCAGTGAAAATGCTCCAAACGGCCCAAAACTTCACAGGTTTGGTAACGATGCAGCCATCAACGCATCTAAGCGTATTATGGGGTGTCATCAAATGCCGTTGCCATGGCGACAGACCACTCGCCATGAAACACGATGTCGCTGTAAGTCCAATGGACACGGTCCAATCGTCCCCCAATCTTCACTTGTATATCACCGGTGCATGCCTCAACAGCTCTACGCCAAATCTGAGATCTCACCATATGTCGTTTCCATGGAAACGCATCCCTCGCCATAAAACACGATGTCGCTATAACTCCTATGAAAATGTTCAAAAAGTGTTCAAACTTCACATGTGTGCTAACAGTCCAGCTGTCACGACATCTACGTGAGAGTTTTGAGATTTCTTCAAATGTCGTTGCCATGGTAACGCAAGGCTCGCCATGAAACACGGTTATCTCATAACTTCAGTGAAAATGCTCCAAATGGCCCAAAACTTCAACGCATTTAAGCGTATTATGGGATGTCATCAAATGCCGTTGGCATGGCGACAGATCATTCGCCATCAAGTTAGTTCAAAAGTTTGCAGTTCAAATATTCTGCTGCTTTTCCAAGCCTTTTTACTTTCTTTTCTTCTCTCATCACACATTCAAGCCCCCAGTGTTCATGTATCATTTCAATCTAAATTCTTCACTTTCTTTGTACACATTACATTTCAGCATAGCAGTTCAGCGTCAGCTTTTCAGCATAAAGCATTCCCACTAGCAATTTCTTCAGGAATTGCATTCTCTAGTTTAATATGCTATACCATGATTTTTGTTATTACAGTACATACCAAACTATGATGTACCATATTTTCCATCTTGGTTAAGCATGCTAATATTTGCTAATAAGCACTTAACACAAAGTACAGATAGGGCTGATGGGAATCACTTTTGACGTATTTGGGTGTGTAAAAATATCAATAACAGCCACCTTGCTACTTAATAACCAACTGTGTCGATTAAGTCCAATATCTGGTTATTGTCTCAAATGTATTTCTCCTAGTTATTGTCCTGTCATCTTCTAAATAAAATGTTTCTTCTTCCGTTACCTGAAGGAAATGCAGAGGGCACTTGTAAGTATCAAGGGAGAGAAGGAAATAAGTTAAAAGACAGAGAGTCTCTGGCATTGATTAAGGACTTGCAAGTGGAAAAGAAACATGTGAACAGACTTGGACAGCTGCTGCCGTCATTTTACATGAGGTTGTTGTTTCATTCTCAAGTCAATAAATACATTTAAATTAATATTTGACTCAAGTCCTTAGTGTGTATGGTTTTGAAATAAGCGGGTTAATGCACTTAATAACCAACTGTGTTGATTCATCTGGTCATCTGGTTATTGTCCCTAATGTTTTTGTCCTAGTATCTTCTAAATAAAGTGTATCTTCTTCCGTTACCTGAAGGCCACGCAGAGGGCACTTGTCAGTATCATAGCGAAGAAGGCCGCTCCACTCACAGCAGCCAGCAGGGAGTCTACCTAAAAAAAAAAGCCTTTGATTAAACTTGTGTTTCTTTTTTCTATTACGAGAATATATCTGTATTGTCATCATACAAAGTACAACGAAATGTCTTTGGCAACTCTCACTGCAGTAAAAATAGACAATAAATAAACAAGAGTGGTAAAAGCAGAGGTAGTAGCGATGACATTGCAACGAGATACAATTCAATGTCAAAGTGCATATTTACACTTACAGTCTAAATATATATTAGTAACATAGCCATAAGTATGTCTAAATAGTAGTGGTTGCAGTACAGAGAGAGAGCCATGCCGCCATTTCAAGTACTCGGATTGTAGCAATTTGGGATTACTTTTAGCATCAGGTTCAGATTCTTTATTTGTACCCGTAGGTAGATTTAGTTTGCAGATAAAAAGACAAGGGATCCACCCTCTAAAAACACACTCTAAAAACAAACACAGACACATCTCTAATAAAAGTACACCCTGCTCCGTCAAATCTCAAAATATTTAAAAACATTTAAAAAGAAAAACACTAGTACAAACATGGACATTCAAAATTCAATAAATAAATAGGCATCTGTGTGACGCTCCTATGATTTGTTAATTTGTGCAATAGCTGCAATGAAAGGTGCTTTACAAATAAAATGTATTATTATGATGATTACTACCTTGCTGGCTGTGGGGGTGGTGGCTCGGCGGTCCCCCCCCGGCTCCGTCAGGTTGTGGTAGTGGAAGAGGAGAGCGAAGCCTCGGCCCCAATGTGTGGTGGTGATGAGCTCCATGATGACCTCCACCATCTCCTGGCTGGAGCCGAACACCAGCTGGCTGCTGGGGGGCCGGTTGGACCCGCAGAACCTGGAGGAGAAGGTGATGAGGTCGGTGATGTAGAGGACGTCGTGAGGGCAGGCGTTCAGAATCGAGTGCTGGCTTTCAGGACTCGTAGGTGGGGTTTCAGTGGAAGAGGTTTCCTCCATGACTGTGCTTGGGTGGAGGTCTTCCCTGAGGTGAGAGGAGGAGGCAGAGTTGACCGCCTTGTCTACAGGAAGAGGCGGCAAAGAGGAGACTTCTGCAGATCTTTTGGCCGAGTTCGAAACTTTGGCAATCTCCATCTTTGTGGACTGTTCCTGGACCACCACCTGCTTGACCTCGCCTTCCTGGGACGATTGCAGAGTCTTTTTTATAACGTCCTCGAAACTCTGAATCACAGGAACTTTAGCTGCTAATGAAGATTCATCTGCCGCTAAGCTGCCACCAGGAGTGAAAGTCACCTCTTGGTCCGCCACCTCCTCCTCTTCGAAATGAGAGAGAGCAGAGTACTGTGCGGCGGAGTCGTGGCTCTCAAACACGTCAAAGTCAAATATCTCCAGGATGAGCTGGTAGTCAACCGGCACGAAGAACTGCCAAACGCAGTGAGTCCCAGAGGAGTAGTTGTAGGGGAAGCCGGGGGACAGGATGAGGCCTTGGACGTCCACCACATCCACCCTGGCACCACAGTTAAAGTATACCTGCGATATGAAACACAGTACATTAGTCATGTTGTCAGATAAAGGCAAGTCATAAGATCTCTGTGAGTAAGGCACTAACAACCAAAGTAGCCATCATTAGGTCTGCGCAATCCATATAAATATTATCAAAAGTGTTATTGTAGTATATATTTGGTAAATATGTGAAAATATGATTCTGAATTGAGTATTGTTGAGCTGCAGAGAATCCTGGCCTAAAAACAGTATTCTAAAGAGGTAATTTTGACTACAACTTAGCACATAATATGCTACCTCACTGCATTTAAATTCAATTAAAAAAACTGCAACTACTGTGCACACATTTTGATGTGTATAGTACCCTATGTTTATATTTTTTTGTCGAAGATTGGACTACTTATCCTGTGTATTTTATCTTGTGTTTTCAATAGATTCTCTCTTGATATATATATTTTCTAAAGTGGATCTGTATGCATCTACTTTTTATGTTATTTTATTGTAATAGTTTATGTTATATGATATACAGTATTTTACTCATACGAAATGCCTGTATACATGCTGCCATGGAAAAAAAACATTCAATTTGGAATGAATAAGGATATCACATTTAATCTAATTTAATACAAATCCATGTTTGGTACAGCTCCTCAAACAATTAAATCACACCATGATCAATTATTTAGTTCTTAGAAAATGGCCTTTCCTTCTACGATCCCAACTCTTATCATAACGCAATATATCAGTCAAAATAATCGCAATAAGTATTGTTTTCCAAAACTTGCAGCCCTTCTTATCAGCAAATAAAACACTTGACTTGTCATCTGATTACTCAGAGACACATTTAAAACCAACTCTCGAACCCTGCTGTTCTCAAAGCCTTTGTTTTGCCTGCATTTTCTGCCTGGGTACCCCTGGGGAGGGTCTTTCTGCAAACATGCAGGCAGTAATGCATCCCAGGTGTGTGTTGGATGTGAGGAGGACCTGGAATCTGAGCACAGGCATAATGTGGGGCTGGGAGCCGAGGACCAGACCTCTGTAGGGGGCTGCTGCGTTTATGAGCTTTCCTGTTGGCCTCCGTTTTTGGACGGTAGGAATGACCCAGACTGGCAGACCCCCATGCCAGACAGGTAAAAAACCAACACCCGAGGGGCAATACTTGTGCTCTGGACTGGGGCTTAAAGCATAATTGAGAATGCAGTTTAGACGAGAAGAAGAAAAAAGGGCAACGGGGGCACAAGGAAAGTCTTTGGAGCCAGACAGGCCCTTTGATTGCTCCACGGACCATCTATCCCCATCTGAAGGCATTTAAAAGAGGCTTTACCCCGTCAGAAGAATTTCAGTAGCCAAATCTAGATGTAATTTTACAATCTGGAGAAAAAGACCACTTGCTGGGCCCTCAGGTCATCAGGATCAAACGCAAAGCCCCCTCCACAGAGTTGATTCAGCTGACAGCCTCACAGCCAGGAGGCAACATGTAACATACACTCAGCAGGTCAGAGAGGGCGAGGAGGGCTGCATGAACTCTGTCCAAAAGGGAATATATGTGTGTTTGTGTCCCTGTCTCGGTGTGTGCTGGGTGTTGATAGTTAGATGTCAAGACACTTCCCAACTTAAATGGGTTCTTTTATTGGAGTTTCATTGAAGATTACATTTGTTTACTTCCTGAACTTATGTGCTGTTTACACGGGAACGAAACGGGTTGAATCCGCTACTTTTCTCTTTCGTATAGCCCGTTCGTTCACATGAGGCCCAAGGCGGATAGATCTGCAAACGGAACGCTCTGGCGGGCAAAACGGCTCAGTGTGTACATCCTATACGATCATTTCCTGATAACGATGAAGCCATAGCCCCGCCACTCCCCACCTCTGCTGCTCGCTGCTGTAGCATGGTCAGTAGCTACTGCGACTGACCATGCAGATGTTAGTGCAAAATCTACAGCTCCTCTACCACAACCATCAGCAACAAGTGGACATGGAGAACTACATGTTGCTCAATCCACCGCGGAGAATAAACAGAAGGGCAACCAGGCAACCATGGCAACCATGCTTGGGGTCTTCTTCGCTGCTTTTGGTGTATTTTGTGGCGGAAGTAAGTGTACTTCTGCCACTTACAGGCCCGGCATACTACAGCGCCTCCAGCGGGTCGAGCGATCTCGTGTGAAGGGACAGGTTTATTGAGCCGTGTCCGTGTGAACGGAATGCTTTTTTGATATCGAATTCTGTTCGTTTGCGTTTCGTTTGCGTTCCCGTGTAAATGGGGTCTTAGTGACAAAACTATGTTACACTGGCTTCTATTGGCTAGCGCTCAAACACATTGTACGTGATAAGCTAAGGGGCGGGACATCTCTAAGCGGTTACCAATCAGCTAACCAATCAGAGCAGACTGGGCTCTGGTTTCAGACAGAGGGTGAAAAGGGCATTTTTAAACGACATGATTGCATGATGACCTATGGCGGTAGACAGTACAAGCCACAGTTTCAATTACATGTATCTGTATCTTAATAGAATACGCTATATTTTATTCTACTGTACTGTATTGGCTTATACATCATTTTATTTTATATTATCTTTCTCTATTTTACATCTAAATATTGTTTTCTTATTTCTCCATCTTACTTTAACCCAGTGGTTCTCAAACTTTTTCTGTCAGGCCCCCCTTTGGAGAAAAAAAAAAGTCGGGCCCCCCCAACACAAATAGTCAGGCTCAGTGGCGGCGCCAGAGATTTCTTTTGGGGGTGCTGTGGGGTAGCTTGACGTTTCATAGGGTGCTCAAACATTTAGGGTTTCCCATTAATGTACCGCTACAGAGGAATGTTCTACTGCAACACTCCCCACGCAAATACACTATGTACCCGCGACTGTTACAATGAAGGCTCGATATCAAGTCTCGGCATATAGGTGTAAGCAGGGGTAAAGTGCTATTTTTATAGGTGGTGTGTGGACCTCACATAGGGGGGTCCGGGGGCATGCTCCCCCGGGAAGATTTTTAAATATTGAAGTTAAAAGCATCAATCTGGTGCACTTTGAGAGCAACATGAAGAGATCTATGGATACCTCTCTCAACACCCAGATGAAACAGAATTGTAAACAGATTTACTATTTCTTTATGGATATTTTATAAATCACTCTTTTAAACTTTATTCTTGTTTTACTGTCATATAGTATTTCATAGCTGTTTTTCATGTATTCTCTTATTTTTTTATAACTATAATGATCATATAAACGTGTGCCTCGGAAATAATTGTTTACATTAATGGTGACCAAAACGTTTGAGACCCACTGAGATAACACTGAGAGAGTCCTTTAGCTCACTGAGTCTCTCAGTCTCACAGGAGAGGACTCTCCTCCACTTTGTTGTTGAAAAAACTCCTTATATCCGTTAGCGTAGCTCGCTAGCACCAGAAGCTAACATCAACGATCTCCGGTACCGGTGCGCTATCTCTCTCTCTCGCTCACACACGCACACAAAATGGCTCGTTCCACACACACACACACACAGAGCCGAGCTTTAATGAAACACAGAGACCCAGACGTAATAGTACTGTATCATATTATTTTCGAATCAATAATTTTTCAAAATATGATTTTTATTTTTTTTTTATAATCTTTTTTTTTTTTTTTTAATCACCATTTTTCCTCCGGGTCTCTCGCGCCCCCCCTGTCATGCCTCTGCGCCCCCCCCACTTTGAGAACCACTGCTTTAACCCGTGTTAACCCCTCCACCATTCTCTTGCACAATTTTATTTATTTTTCTTCTTGCATTGTATTTATTTATTTGAGCTCTAGGCACATTGTTTGTTGCACTGTAGGAGGTTGATAAAATTACCCTGCAGGCAGCTATTGTGCAATTAAGCCTTTGAATCTTAAATATACAGTATAATCATGAAAGGCATTAAGCTCTTTGTGCCATGGCATTAAACTTAAAGGAATGTTTGCTTTCTTCATAACATAAAAAACGGTTCAGGTTATCACGATTCTGACATGAATGGTGATCATTAAAGTCCTTTAAGATTGTTGTATTTTGCTGATTTAGTTGTCCTTACTGACATTTGGAAGCAATAACTTTGGCACACGGCATGCTACACTTGCACTGCCTACACACACACTTTAGAAATGAATATAGTACAGCGAGGAATTACACGGGTGACATTTGAACGGGCCAAATGCCATTCCTGCTGAGGCTGGAGCGAGAGTAAGCCGATTTGGGGTTCACAGTGTTTGCAGGAAGGTTGCGCAATGAGGGGAGCCACTTCACAATATGGGGGCATAACAAGGGGAAGAGGAGGACAGCGTGTCCCCCCATCAGTGCTGGGAGAACGTATGTTTGTTCCTATGGCTGACCTTCCCTAACCTCCATGGACTCGGTTCTTTGCAACCCAATTAACAGCATTGACAACATGAAACACAATGAAGATGCTGAAACACTAGAACTGATGTGTTGCTAAAGTGGAAGTTTAATTAAAAGGCTTGGCCAAGGGTAGTAGAAGATGGATGTCACATAGTACGGCCCTCACTCATTGCGACGAAATCTCCTCAAGTCTGCATACTTGTATTGCATTTTTGTTAATACACAAACATATAAGAAATGATAATCAGTGCAGGAAGAGGCAGACAACCCACGTGGCTTATTTGTATCCTCCAGCTAAATAAGGAAAAAATCCCTATTTAATAGAAAACACATATCAATTCGCAAACTTTAAGATCAATAATGAAATATGATGCTACATTTCAGCCTCATATTTGTATTGTCTGCCTCTATTGTGACATGTTTACATGCTTTAATGTATAAAAAAAGGTTTTTCTCATTCTGCTACTTCATACTTTTCATACTCTGTTGTGATTGGGCCACCGCTTAGAGATGTCCCGCCCCTTAACCAATCACTTACAATGTGTTGGAGCGTTAGCCAATAGAAGCACAAGTGTTACATAGTGATGTCAATATGTTCCTGAAGTAAGCAAAGGAGTCCACTGGAGGTGTTTAAGGAAGGAGGGGAGTGTGTGGGAGAGAAACTTTGGGATTTTAGC